GGGTCTTCCCCCCCCCCCCCCCCCGCAAATTCTAATTTTTCTGATGAGCTTGTTCAAAGAGAGGCAGCTACCAAGTAGCAGAAAAGATCACAAGGGAGGTGGGAGGGGGTTTGAAAGAGCTACTTGGTGCACCCCCACCCTGCATTGCAAATAGCCACGCGTTCACTTGCTCATTCATTCATCAAGTATTAAGTCGTAACTGTTATTAATGATAACTGACAGCCTGGGGTGGTGAGTCTTCTGATGAGCTTGTTCAAAGAGAGGCAGCTACCAAGTAGCAGAAAAGATCACAAGGGAGGTGGGAGGGGGTTTGAAAGAGCTACTTGGTGCACCCCCACCCTGCATTGCAAATAGCCACGCGTTCACTTGCTCATTCATTCATCAAGTATTAAGTCGTAACTGTTATTAATGATAACTGACAGCCTGGGGTGGTGAGTCACTACCACGCAGGCTGAGGAGAGCTGGATATACTCTGGGGATCACCGCGGTAGCACCCTCTGTAAGCCCACAAAGCCTCTCCCAGCCTCAGAGGACAATGCTCTAGTCCAGTGGTTCTCAACCTTCTGGCCCTTTAAATACAGTTCCTCATGTTGTGACCCAACCATAACATTATTTTCGTTGCTACTTCATAACTGTAATGTTGCTACTGTTATGAATCGTCATGTAAATATCTGATATGCAGGATGGTCTTAGGCGACCCCTGTGAAAGGGTCGTTCGACTGCCAAAGGGGTCGTGACCCACAGGTTGAGAACCTCTGCTCTAGTCTATCTCGCAGCCTGGGAACCCGGGCACAATGTGCGCTTGCCCCTCCATGCACTGCATGATTGCTCCTCATATCCTTGATGATACTTCCACTGTCAACATTATCATCCCAAAGAACACACGCAACTCCCCGTGTCTGACCAACACAGCCTGCCCAGGCCTGTGTCCTCGGGGCTCACCTTCCCTGCACCCCAATACCAGCACCCTAACTTCTTCTTAAAAAAATAATGCTCATTCTATCTGCCTTCTATAAAAGTAAAATGTGTTCATTTCAGGAAACTTGAAAAACCATGGAAAGTATAAAGAAAATAAATACCATCAAGACCAAGGCGTCCTAACCTCAGCGCCATTCGTCCTTTCAAACCGGAATCATCTTTTCGTGACAAGGACTGTCCTGTGCATAGTGGGATGGTTAATAATACCACTGACCCCTCCTACCTGGAAGCCAGCAGCACCCCCGCCCCAGCTGTGACAACCACAATGTCCCCAAACATTGCCAAATGTCCCCCGACTGAGAACCCCAGTCTCAGAGGCAGATCGAACCACGATCCATGTCTGGTTTGTTTTTCCTCGTTAGTTACCTCCCATACATAGATTTCCTCCCCCCAAATGAGACTGATGGTATATGCAGTTTGTGCTCTGCTTTTCCCACTCGATATTATGTTCCCAGCATTTCCCGAAGTCATTGTTTCCTTCGATAGAACGTGCTTTACCGGCTGCAGATGGCACTGGCAGGCGGGATGCCTGGTGCCACAACCCCATCCCTCCCTGGAGCTGGACAGTTACGGGGCCCAACGTTGCCGTGCTGCGCATACTGCTGGAGTGAACGCTTCGCACATAAACCAGAACCCTGAGTCCATCCCAACAACAGATGCCGGGAGGGAGGTTCCTGGGTCAGAGGCCTGACGCTCACACAGCGGATGGCTTCTGAGAGGCTGTCATCGGGATGCATTTTGTGTTAAGTGGCTGAGCAACCACTCTGCTGTATTTCAGGGTGAGAGAGCCAGTCCTATTAGGGAGGGAAGAATGAGGGGCTTGTTTCCAGTGTTCTTCCTGAAGATGCCCAGGGCAGCCCCAGCTCTTCCAGTGGCTGATCAGCCCCAGCAGGATTTAGGCTGCGTCTCCAGAACACCTGCCTCAGGCAGGTGGTAAATGAGCTTCATTTCAAACAGACAGAGGCTGTGCGAGGAAGGCCGCCTGGGGCTCAGCAGGAAGCAACATGACATGTGCCATGAACAGGGGAGTGAGGGGGACACACACGCGTGTGCACCATCGCCGGTGTCTAGATCCTCACTGCCCGAGGTGTGTCCCGACCCGCAGCAGCATCAGGGTACCAGCTGAAAATGCAGAACCTCGGCCCCCTTCCTGGAACTCCTGAGGCATAATCTGCGTTCTAACAACAAGCTCAGGTGTTTCTTGAGTCCATCCTATATAACAAAAGCCTTATATGCTAATTGTCTGGTCATCCGGTCGTCCATTCAACCAATCAAAGGGTAATATGCTGATGATATGCTAAGGCCGCTCAACCGCTCACTATGACGTGCACTGACCACCCAGGGGCAGACAGTTGACTGGTTGACCAGTTGCTACGACGTGCACTGACCACCAGGAGCAGATGCTTCGACCGGTAGCTTGGCTTGCTGCTGGGGTCCGGCTGATCAGGATTGAGTGAGACGGGCTGGAGACGCCCTGGAGCCCTCCCACGGTCCCTCCCCGGCTGGCCAACCTCCCCGTCCCTACCTAGCCCTGATCGTGCACCAGTGGGGTCCCTCAGCCTGGCCTGCACCCTCTTGCAATCTGAGACCCCTTGGAAGATGTCAGAGAGCCATTTTTGGCCTGATCCCGCAGGCCAGGCCAAGGGACCCCACTGGTGCACAAATTCATGCACCAGGCCTCTAGTCTATATATGTATATAAAAAGCCAGTGACTAGAACGCTGTAACAACCAAAACCACCGGTCACTATGACGCCCACTGTGGCCAGCGAACCGGCCGATCAGGGGGTGGGGCCAGCCAGCCAACCTCCTGCAGCTCCTCCCCCTGCCCAGCCCCACCCCAGATCGGCCCCCCACTCTGATCAGGGTCAGGGCTAGCTGGCCAACCACCCATGGCTCCTCCCCCAGACCGCTGGCCCCTGATCGGCACCCCTCACCCCATTTGGGGGTGGGGCCGGCCGGCCCACCATCCACAGCCCCAATCTCCCACCATCTCCTCCTCCCGACAGGCCCAGTCACGATCCACCCCAATTGGGGCAGGGCGGTCAGATCCCACCCGTGCACAAATTCGTGCAAGGGCAGGGCCAATGGCCAACCACCCATGGCCCCTCCCCAGGCCGCTGGCCCCTGATTGGCCCCCCCCACCCCATTTGGGGGCAGGGCCAGCCGGCCCACCACTCACCACCCCTTCCCATGGCCGGTTCCACCCCCAATCAGCCCTCACCACCCCAATCGGTCCATGGCCCCTCCCTCCAGACAGCTCTGTCCCCCATCGGGGTCCCCACACCAATCAGGGGTGGGGCTGGCCGGCCAACTTCCCACAGCCCCTCCCCAGTGCTGACCCCTGATCGGCACCCCCACACCCCATCTGGGGGCGGGGCCAGTGGGCCCACTGCCGCCAGCCAACCTCCCACTGTCTCCTCCTCCCGACAGGATCTGCCCTGATATGCCCCACTGGTGCACGAATTCGTGCACTGGGCCTCTAGTCCTAATATACAAAGCCTGGGCCCATGGGAATGCCCAGATTCATTCCGGGAGTTTTCACTGAACTAAACCTGAGCCCAGCACTCCACCTCCTAGGACAACGATTGAATTATGTTTCTGGAAATGAGTGCTATCACCTGCATTAAAGTACGTGTCACATCTTAGCTGGCCGCAGTCACACCACCCCGCCCCCAGGTCTTTCTTTCCATGATTGGCAGGTACTACCCACTGTTGTTGTTAACAAGCAGCTGTCATCATCATCATCATTATCACCACCTCCCTCGGGGCCTGGCCCTTTAATTCCTGGAAAGGGCGGATGGAGTTTGAGGCTTCATAGAGGACATCTAGATAATTTCTGAATAAGACGAGTCCTCAGTGCCTTCAACACAGCTTAATGTGCCTGGGAACCACGGGCTTGGCACCGAGGTCCGGTCTGACCACCAGTGACCATGGCCACCTGCAGGTGTCACGTATCCATCTGTGACCTCAGTGACCTCGTTGTGACCTCCCTGTGACCTCCCTGTGACACGGGAACTGTGCTGACACCGCCCTCGTGCGGTCGCACACGTGTCAACCAGACGACGAATGCAAAGGCAGCCTGGGAATCTAAGTCAAGCGACCTCCCTGTGACACGGGAACTGCTGACACCGCCCTCCTGCGGTCGCACACGTGTCAACCGAGACGACGAATGCAAAGGCAGCCTGGGAATCTAAGTCACACTCCCATCCTTCCATCCCCGGGCTGTCCCCAGGCTAGATTAGTAAATGTCTACAACATCTTACAGAATTCCATCCTGGGATGTCTGGGGGAGGAAGGGAAGGTTGCAATGGACAATGGCCCGGCCCTCTCCATATCCTTAAAGTCGTGGAAAATCTTCACTCGCTAACAGGATGTGAACCTGTTAGCTGCCCCAGCAACAGTTACAATCCCACCACCAAACCACCCCCAGCTCCCAGAACCAAACTGCCCACGGCTGCCCACTCTCCCCAGCGTGGTAACCGGGGTGGCCCAGCTGGACCAACGACTTCCTACTCAGGTGGAAGTGGGCCGTGTGCAGCCACCTTCACCCCGATGCACCCCTCTTACTGACACCTCCCTGGCCCGCATCAACGCCTGCCCCTACCTCCCCTCACAGGACGCCTTACCTGGGGATCAGCGGCGGACTTTCGGACACTCATGTGGGCAGTCTCGGGAGGGTGTGCTGGGGTCCCCGATGCGTGGTATCCATTCACTGCGGGGACAGAAACACGGCTCAGATGCGGCGCTGGCCACAGACTTCCTGCCCCTGCCGCCCCTTCTCCCGCCTCGGGGCCTGGCGCTGGGAGGGCTCGTCTCAGGACCTCCCCCGTATTCACAGAGCTGGAAAAGGGGCGCGAGCATCTCTCTAACCCCCAGCACCCAATGACTGAACTCGTGGGGGACACGTTTCTTTTTGAGCCAGAGAGGAAGAGGAATGTGCTTGGAAGAGCGGAGGCCACACCCACCCAATGGCCGTCTCTGGAAACGCCATCGGCTGCGGTCACTGGTGCTGGGCAAGGGCCCGCTCTCTCTCTCTGGGGTCAGGAGGCCCCAGCACCGTCCTGTAATTCCTCTCTGACAAACTTCGCTCTGAGAACCCCTCCATCCTCGCGGCCACAGTGCCATGTGAGGAGTGTGTTTACTGGTTTCCATAACAACTGCTTTGCCAATTAATAGCCAGGTGATCTTGATACCTTCTTAAGTTGCTTTTTCCAAGATTAAACACACACACACACACACACACACACACACACACACACACACACACAAATTCAAGTCTCTAAAACTCTACCCCTATGACATTCACTTGTGCTCCCAATGTGAGCTAACAGACCGGCCCTTGTGTGTGTGTGTGTGGGGGGGGGGGGGTGGGGGAGCTGGTTCCCAGCATTTACCAGTTTCTGTGGCATAAATACCCCCACCACGGGGATTGGTAGCCCCAGCACCGCTGTGCGGCCCACGCAACCCCAGTTCCCACGGGCGGCGCTGCTCTCACGGGCACAGTCCTGTGGCTCCTGCTCAGTGAGCCTCAGCTTCTGAAGCTATAAAATGGGGACAATGCTCCCCAGTCCCCAGACCTACTTTGTTGGTATGAATGAGACACCTGCAAAACGGACCTGTGAATTATAAAGGACTTCATGAAAAAAGGGGGTGGAGAGAGAGAGGTTTCCTGCTTAGTTCCTGAATCTAGTCGCCTTGTACCCCAAGACTGCACCATCACTGGGGACCAAGGAAGCCTGCTTCCCCCGCCCCAGGCTTGGAGTGATTGCCACAGCACGGACCGCGCAGGTCGGGCTGGAGGGACGCACAGACTCCTGTCCGAATCACAGTTTGCTGAGAGCTCTGCAGTGTGGCAGGAAGCAAAACGGAGAATGACTGAACGTCGGGAACCCTGCTCATGTGCAGCGGCAGGGGCGGGAGGCCAGCCATGGGGTGAAGGCGACCCCGCGAGAACTTCCCTCGTGCTGGGGTGCCCCCTCCTCCACGGCCTGCAGTGAAACAGAGCCACACTGAGCAGGTTCCCGGGGCTGCTCCCGGCCTGCAAGGTGGGCAGACACTGCAGGAGAAGGGCAGGCACAGATACCCCGGGACAACAGGAAACTGGGCCCAGAGCTGGGCCCCGGCACAGTGGCTCAGGAAGCAACGAGAAATAAATGAACCCCATGTGGACAGCCACACTCCCCTCGGGCAGCTGGTCAACTGCTGGCACTACCCAGGAGTCCCCCAGCTAAGGGGGGCGGGGGGCAGGATTCCAAGAGCTTCAGAGAATGTTGGGGAGGTGGCGCGAGGACCGCCTACTCTGACAGGCATAAGCTGTGCCCACAAGGGCATTAGACGGATGTTAAATACGACGAAACGGAAGGCATGACCTTTGGGAAGGTTTACTGGTCAGGCAACATAGCACTGAAATGGAAAAACACAAATGCTGGAGAAGCCAGACAACAGCAGGAAACTCAGCACCGGCTCCCAGCCCGGGACCTGGCGGACGGAGGCGCGGATGTGGAAAAGCTCGGTAACTTAGTTTAAAAGGCTGATTGAACTGGATGCATGAAACATAACACCCCACAAACAAAGGTGATATCTGTGCCAAGGAGCCATGGAACGTTAAAAAAAAAAAAGTTGCGCATATTTAAGCCACAAATAAAGGACCGATAAATTGCAAGAGGCGTACATAACACAAGCCACATTCTTTGAGCAGAAAGTAATAAAAGTAGATATTAATAACAACAGAACAAATATACAAGTTCCCGTCCCCCCAACTCCCAAATGCTTAGAAAGGTGAGAAAATGCCCTGTTAAATAATCTGAGGCCAAAGAAGAATTTAAAACATTAAGTTCACAATATTTAGAAGATAATGAGGAAGAACGTATCGGAAGGGACAAGGCCTGAATTATATTTGGAGGAACATCTATAGCTTTCATGACCTCATTACCAAAGCCAAGGACAAATAAAAATAAATGAACCGAACATTCGATTTAAAAATTTAGAAAAAAATCAAAAGCCACGGAAATAAAGCAAAGGAAAGCACAAGAGAGAGATAGAAACACGGCAACAGGAATTCCTGAGCTGGGAGGCAGGTTGGCACTAAGGACCCCGCTGGTCCTCTCTGTGTGATGGGGGGAGGGGCAGGGGTCACAGCAATGAAGAAACCAGATCAGCGTGTGTAATTGAGAGGGAAAGAGACCGAAAGTGCCTGGAATGGAGGATTAGAAAGAAAACAAGCACAACCAACATAGCAGAGATACTTTCTTTAATGCAACAGCATTTGATTTATAATTCTACTAGACCCCCAGTGCATGAAAATTCGTGCACTAGGGAAGGGGGGGGTCCCTCAGCCTGGCCTACGCCCTCTCCAGGGGATCGGGCCTAAGCTGGCAGTCAGACATCCCTTTGGCAGCCAGGGACCCCTCGGGGGATGTCCAACTGATGGCTCCAGGGGGAGCAGGTCTAAGCCGTAGTCAGACATCCTTAGCACTACCAAGGAGGTGGGAGAGCCTCCCACCACAGCAGCTGCGCTCACAGCCATCAGCCCAGCTTGTGGCTGAGCGGAGCTCCCCCTTTGGGGGCGCACTGACCACCAGGGGGCAACTCCTGTGTTAAGCGTCTGCCCCCTGGTGGTCAGTGCATGTCATAGCAACTGGTCATTCCTGCTTGTTCCACTTTTAGGGTCAATTTGCATATTACCCTTTTATTATATAGGATGCTAATAAACACAAAGCCTTCCATAAGGTTCAAATGATCTACATGGTTTCAAAGGACACTAGAAATGCCAAAATGAGTAAAATCTTTGAAAAGTGGCCTCCCTCCCAAAGGCACTGGGCCCGGATGGTTGCATGGGCAAACTCCTTCAAACGCTCAGGCACAGGGCACAGACTGCACCACCGTATAGAAACATGTGGTCAGTTGCCCAGTTCATCACACAATGCCAACATCACCCGATCCTAAAATCTACCAACGGCAACAACAACCAGAACCACATTCAGTCTGATGATGACTACAGAGTCTGGAAGTTCTTACCTGAGCAGGCCTTGGTTTCCAGTCAGTCACCTCATCTAAGGGGGTGGGATCCCTGTAAACTAAGATTGTCCCCAAGTTCTTTTTTTTTTTTTTAGAAGATATATTTTTTTAAATATATTTTATTGATTTTTTACAGAGAGGAAGGGAGAGAGATAGAGAGTTAGAAACATCGATGAGAGAGAAACATCAATCAGCTGCCTCCTGCACATCTCCCACTGGGGATGTGCCCACAACCCAGGTACATGCCCTTGACCGGAATCGAACCTGGGACCTTTCAGTCCGCAGGCTGACGCTCTATCCACTGAGCCAAACTGGTTTCGGCATGTCCCCAAGTTCTTGAGGGCAGAGGCTGCCTTCCTGACCTCTATGTACTCCCTTCACAACACCCTCACCCCACGGTTCTCTCCCCCCGCTTCCAGGTCCCCAGGCTCTCAGCTGGCTGCTCATGGCACCCAGGAGTTGTCTGACGCAGGGCATTCTGCCCCTAATCCATTCTCTTGTTCTCGCTTCAGTTCTGGTCTGTCAGCTGTTGGCTAATTACTGCTCATGTCAAAACAATTACTGGGAAAGAAAAAATAATTTTCCATTCAACTACTTGTCTGCATACAGCAGAGATCTGAACCGCATGGCCCACCCTCCACACCCTGCATTGGGGTTCCCAGTCCTCCAGGCTCCCCACTTACCCAGGGTTTACATACAAAACTCATGAGCCCAGAGGTGGGTGCTTCTGAGGCCTCCAAAAAAAAAGTTAAATACAAATTGATCAAGGACCACGATCACTCATAACCACAAGGAACATAATTTAGTTTGGGGATGCAAGTAAACACATAACATGCCAAATGAGCTGTTTTTAAGATAAGAAGAGGGAAGGAAAAGCTCGATCTAGTAACTTTAGTAACTTCAGATACAAATATAAACACCCACAAGCACGCACTTCATCCCTCTCTGTGGGCAGTTGCACAGACAGGCCGAGAGGGGGCCTGGGAGATGGAGGAGGCAGAACCGATACTCCGTAGAAAGGAGAAGGAGGCATTTGGGCTGGGGGAGGAGGGAAGTGGTTAAAAACGGAAAAGAAACACAGAAAGGGTTGTGCAGAGACACACAGCAACAGAGAAGAGCCTGCAACTTCTGCTGCCCGGAATCCCCCACGCAACAGCTCCATCCTGAGCCCCACCGTCCAGGTTCCTGCTCCCTAAAGAGCCCCAAAGAGCAGATGCCCTTTTCCAAACAAGGTGTCCCCCCGGACACCCCCTCTTTCCTCCAGGTCTGGCCCAATCTCCCTTCTCTCCGGAATCAACACAGGCACTTCTTTCCTCAAGGCTGTGATCCCAGGGCGCCCAGGGCCTTGTTCCTGAATCTGTCCCCTCCACCCTCCCTCCACCTCACATTCAACCCGGTGGAATGCTACGTTTCCTGGCGGTACCACATGGCACCGGTTCTGCAGGGTGCATATTATGACAAGCAGTGAAGGGAAAGGTCCATAGAGTTTGGACAAGTGCCCCACCGTTCAGAATTCAATTGGTTTGCTCACAGTAGGCCTTTACAAATCCACAGGTGTACTCTGTGACTCTCAAACAAGGCCACAGTTAGCAGTATTCCTACACTTAGAGGGACGCAGCCCCTGTGTTGGGGCAGAATCCCGTGGAACCCACTTTGGGAACCACAGGGGTGGCTGTCACAGGCAGGTTTTGAATCCAGGCACACACAGTAGCCAGTGTTGTGGTCAGCACCCCTGAAGGCACAGTCCCTGCTCCCCACTCCCCAACCGCCACCTGCCGCCACCACACCCAGTAAGGCCTTGGAAGTTGCTCTTCCAGCATCACGCTCACCTCCTCAGGTGCGTGCAGCGTCTGCCCAGTCTGTTTAGAGGAGCAGTTTTACCATCGTAGCCTCTCATCTGGAAATACCTGTCTGGCTGCCAGGTCCTCACAGTCTCCCCTGGTTGTCTAAGATGCAAACGGTGTTCCCCACAATGGAACACACAGTACACGTGTCCAGTGGTTGTGAATGGTGAAAGCCTGGGGCTTCCTCCAGGCCATCGAAGATGAAGCAAGCCTTGGGAAGGCCCCCTGAGGCCCTGGTGATGGGGACACTGTTGCTAAAGGGACATGCAAGTCCCTTCCAACGGGGGTGCCATGGCCTCCTCTGAGTCAGTGGTGCGGTCTGGCTGAGGGCCTGGCGACATGCTAATTCTGCAATGAGTGAAGGTCCGCTTGGCTCCCTGCGGAGAGGCGCCCGTTCCGGCTTCCTCCGCTAGAGAAGCAAGTGTGGTGCGGGCAGGCGGGACCCTGGGCTCTGAAGCCCCCTTCCCAGGGGCCTCTGCTCAGGAGAAGCACCCCCTCCTGGTGGCACCACAGGGTCCCAGGCAGGCCAGGGGGTCCTCAGTGGAGCCCTGCTTTGACCTGGCTTCTGGGGATGCAGCAGGGGGCTGTTTCCCCGGGACGATCCCTCTGTGGCTCAAGCCTGAACCCAGGTTTCCTGAAAACCCCGCCCCCCAAGGGAAACTCAGCGAAAGACAGATTTCCTCCATCTTTAAAAACACACACAAATTCAAGTTCAATGCACATCCCAGGCTCAGAAGCTCAGAAGGGAATTCACGCTCCACACCTGCCCGGTCTGACGAGGAAATGCCACGTTTGGCTAATTTAAATTCTAAATCATTTAAAAAACAAAAAACAAACTAAATGCAATGTGGTATCCAGAACTGGATCCTAGCCCAGAAAAAGGACGATACTGGGAAACTTGGGGAAATCAAATTAAATCTAGTTTCGTTAATGGTGATGTACAATGCTTGTTTCTTAGTTTTGACAAATGTGCCACGGTTATGTAGGATGTCAACGTTAGGGGAAACTGAGTCAAGGGTACACAGACTCCTCTGTACTGTCTTTACAATGTTCCTGTGCGTTTAAAATGACTCCAAAATAAAAGAGGCATTCAATGAAGTGACACGACATTGAAAATGCAGCCACATTTCCAGCACCCACTGACCGCCGTGGCCGTGGCTACCACAGCGTACAGCGCAGGTGCAAACGCTTCCATCTTGGTGAGAGCCCTGCTGGACGGACGGCTCCGCACGGTCACTCCGACCCCGTGACTCACACACGGAACTCCCACAACCTCACGCCACTCACAGGTCCTTTCCCTTGGCCGGCTACTGTTCCCCTCTCTGTAAATCCCTGCTTCCACGCTGCACACTAAACCAGCCCAAGGATGACTCAGTACTTGCAGTGGTTGCCTAATCGTGCCTTGGGTTTTCCGTTTGGGTTTCAGCTTGACTTCCGTGGTCCTCCCAGAGGGCCTGGCATCAACTGTCCCCAGCAAGGTCCTGAGCATGCAACTCTGTGAAGAAGGAAGCCAGTGGGGGAGTCCCCGGCCCAGCGGCCCAGCGCCGACCCTACCAGCACCCACATCCGAAGAGCGGAATCCACCTGGTGGGGGCTGGGCCAGTGCTCTGCCCTCTCCCCAGCTGGTTACCCCGCAGACCTGCACTGAAAGGAAAGCAGCCCTGTGTGGAGGTGGCCCTCTCGGAGGCTCACGGAGCTACAACTCGAAAGTAAAACCGAGCCCACGGCCTGCTTCACCCCCTCGCCACCCCCCCGGCACCCCAAGTCCATGCAGGGGGCTGCCTCAGCCCGGGTTAACCTGTGGTTCCCACTGACATTCTTCCTGACCTGATTTTCCATGTTCTTCGTCAGGAGTGTCCATACTGCACGTCTGTGGTCAGTAAATGTGGTTGGGCTCCCCACACTGCCCTCACCACTGCCCACCGCCCTTGCACAAAAGTACCCCAACCCCCATCACAGCTAACCCAGAGCTGTCTTCACAAAGTCCCGGCTGCCTGGCTGCTCCCAGGAGGCGGTTTCTCAGGAGGCGGAGGAGGCAAGAAGTCTCCACTGAATTTCGCTTGAATCCCCACCCCGACCATTATGCTCAGAACGAAATCCCAGCACCTTCCTCTCTCTGTCTTGGGAAGCCCAGCAGGCCCCACGGACCAACTGCCCTCCCTTAATCCCCTACCGTCCAGCCACACTGGCCCGCTCTCCATTCTCAAACATGCCAAGACCACTCCTGCCCCAGGGCCTTTGCACTGGTGTTCCCTAGCCTAGGACATTTCCCTGCCACCCCCCACACTTATACAGATTCTCACTGTCCGCAGAGCGTCAGCGGAAAGGCCACTTCCTTAGACCAACCTTCCCTGGCTCCCAGCCCCTGGGCCCTGTTTTTGTCCCTTGCATTAGTGCATTCAGGGAAGTCAGGCAGATGTCACCTGTGCTTGCCGGTCCCGCGCCCCTGCTGGCTGTAGGTTCGTGGGAGCAGGGACCACACAGGTCTGGCTTGTCTGTGGCTGTATCCCCAGCACAGAGGACAGCATCTGGCGTATATTTTGAATGAAACAGTTTGAAACGCCATCGCTGCTGCTTTGCAGAAGCGTGAGCCGAACGGAAGGGGCTGAGATCCAGGGCCCTGTGTGGTCTCAGGAGGGGAGTCAGCTGACACGGGAGATGAGGCTGCAGACGATCAGTGGTGAAGCGACCTCTTGTCCTCCCCGAGTCTATTTCTCTCCCCACAATAAACAGTCTCCGGAAGCTGCTTACGAAACGGGATGAGGGAAGGGCTGGGAAAAACCCAGTGCTGCCCCGCAGAGAGAAACCCGAGGTGGCTATTATTTTATTCTCCAGTTACGAGGTTCAGGTTAAAAAAAAAAACGAGGGAAGATGTCAAAACATCCCGGATCCTGCTCTAGCCTCGCGGGTGGGCTCTCTTCCCTTCCACCCCAGAGGGGTTGGAGGGCTGGGTGTATTCTCGCCCCGGGGAGAGAGCACCACAGACACACCCCCTGGAGGCCTGGACGGACCCAGTCCTGCTCTTCCCCTGGCCCCGCTACTTATGAATGGGCATAGCAAAGCCTGACAAGGAGACGCGAGGCGCCCGAGGCCCCGGTCTAACTAGGCAGAACTTCACAAGTCTAAGCGGGCCTGCCTGCCAGAGGCACCCTTATGTTAGGTGCACTAAGAAAGGAAAAAAATGCTCCCAATGAAACCGGATCCACCACCGACTGCAGGACGCACCTGACCTCCAAGATGCAGGACCGGGCAAAAGTAGCTGTACAGCTATTCATATGGAAAATCCTATATAATAAAAGCCTAATATGCTAAGTTTCCGGTAGTCCGGTCATCAGTTCAACCAATCAAAGTGTAATATGCTAATGATATGCTAAGGCCTCTCAACCACTCACTATGATGTGCACTGACCAGTGCACTGACCACTGGGGGCAGACAGTCGACTGGTTGACCAGTTGCTATGATGTGCACTGACCACTAGGGGAAGACGCTCCAACTGGTAGGTTAGCTTGCTGCTGGGGTCTGA